CTCTGTACCATGACTCCTCCACAACTCCAGATTCGGGAGGTCTTCTTAACCATCGACATCAGCTACCCAGCACAAAGCAAGTTCAGATCCAGATTTCCAGCCAAGCTAATAAAATCCCCTGGAACATTGAGTACAGCACAGAAACACCCAAGTGGGTCTGCACCGAGCCAGCTTGGGTCCATCAGGACTTATTAGTCCAGACACTGTCTGAAAGCAGCTGCACTGCAAAGCTGGTCCTGGAAATAGCAGAGATGTGTTAACATGGCACAGCACTTGAACTAATAAACTGTTAGTGCTGAGCTGAGTCTGGTCTAGGCCAAATCCAGTGCCTGTATATCCAAAGCATAGTTAATCTGCAAGTGGAGAAACTGCCTGAAGAGTTGACTCTATTTCGAGCCCAGCGCACACAGCTCTACTCCAAACCCACATGCCCAATTCTGTCCTCATCATCTCCCTCCATATGGCCAACTCCTCCATATACCCTCTTCCTGTTCGTCCAGCATTTTCTCTCTGGACTTCACATCCATTTCTCACCTGTCCTCTAAATGTCCATGATAAGGCTGCACAATGCACACTAGCAGCTTCCAGCCTCTCAAGAGCAATTAACATGGTTCCCACCCTCTCCTCATCCTACCTTCTCCAACAGACCAACACTTTCTAGTTCCTTTCCCCCTGATTTCTGGCTTTCCCCTTTGTCCTGCCCTTGGTGTTTCAATCTCTAACATAGGAATAATTATGCTTATAAAAACAAACCCTACATGATTGTATTGGCATATCAAATCATACTGCCTCCATGGAAAAAAGTATCAGCAGAAACACCATCACAAGAGCTCTCACCAGGACAAGGACAGGCTACCATTTCTAAAGGTAAAATTTACTACCTCACCTAAAAATTGCTTACCGGCCAGCCCAGACATGATTGTCTGAGGCTCTCCTTTCTCCTTCCTACTCAGATTTCCTTTGTGTAACTCTCCTATGCCAAACAGCTTGAGTACCTTATAGAATCATACAATCTTTTAGCTTGGAAAAGACCTACAAGATCATCAAGTCCAACATTAACCCAGCACTGCCAAGTCCACCACTAACCCATGTCCCTAAGCACCACAGCTACCTGTCTCTTAAATCCCTCCAGGGATGGTGACTCAACCACCTCCCTGGGCAGCCCGTTCCAATGCCTGACAACCCTTTCAGTGAAGGAATTTTTCTAATATCCAGTTTAAACCTCCCCAGCACAACTTGAGGCCATTCCCTTTTGTCCTACCACTTGTCACTTGGGAGCAGAGACCAACTCCCACATCTCTGCAACCTCCTTTCAGGTGGCTGTAGAGAGTGATAAGGTCTCCCCTGAGCCTCCTCTTCTCCAGGCTAAACACCGCCAGTTCCCTCAGCTGCTCCTCACAGGACTTGTGCTCCAGACCCTTCCCCAGCTCCGCTGCCCTTCTCTGGGAATGCTACAGCAGCTCAGCGTCTTTCTTGAAGTAAGGGAAACTCTTGGTGTGGCAAAAGGCTGGTGAGAGCTAAGACTGCCATCAGGCTGCTGCTGAGAACCGTGAATGAGGAAAAAATGCCACAGGAAAGAATGAGGGTAGACAATGACTGAAATGAAGCACAGGGTGACCGGGCTGCTGAATATCAACCCTGCCCCTCAGCTCAGGCAACTCTGCTCCCCCTTCCCACCTTCTCTACTTCTGTAAACCATGCAAAATACCTGCTGAGCTGTTTGATTTGAAGCTCTGTCCTGTGATAAGTAAGCATGAGGTGGACACTAGCAGTCTTACAGTACCAGAAATATAATGACAGAGTTAACCACTTGCAGCAGAAAGTGAAAGTTTGACCCCCTACAATAGTTCAAGAGGGCTGAGATAAAGGTAAACAAGGTAAAACAACAGGTAAAACAAGCCCATCTGCATTTTTCCTCTAGCCATAATCATGACTTCAGCAAAGACATGGGCAATTCTACCTGCGAGGAGATTCCTTGTTTCTGAGCTGTTTCCAGAACACTGAAATCAATATAAAAGTTAGGAAACCAGAAATAAAATTGAAATTTATCTCCTTAGTCATCAAACATGCTCTTAACAGCACAGCAGCAATTTATTGTCTATGCAATATAACACAGTGTACAAATGTGTACTGAAGCAAGGAAATTAACAATAATTTTATAACCGTCAATACTAAAGCACACAAACACACTCCGCTCACTTTCTATGGCAATTAGAATATGAAATCTGCCTGCTTTTTAGCTGCTGTGTTCCAGATATCAACCCCATGGTGTCAGCTGATGAAGTCCAAATAAGAAAGAAACTCATCTTCCTCCTACATGTTCTTTTTACACAGTCAAGTGGTTTCTACATGTCATGCACACAGCAAAACGACAGTCAGAGACTTGTGCAAAATCGGACATTCTCAGAACGACGTAACAACTAAGGAATCAGAGCAATACAAGCACTATAGTTCAGAACTCCAACCATACCTTTGCCCTGGTCTAGGAAGTTACTTTTGAGCCTCTAACAGTCTGAAGGATTGAAAAATACTGATACTTAAGAAAGGAAGTTTCAGTTCTCACTGTTTTACTTCTACACTTCTGGCAGCCCTCATTCTTTTTTAGACTAAGATGCCTAACCTCCTTGCAGAACTAGTTACCATCTCCATCCATACAGGAACTCTAAAGATGTCACAATCAAAGCAAGATAAATGGCACATATTGAAGTGGAGATGCTAGTAGATTGTGTAGGATGGTATACATTATTACACCTTACAAGCTGTTCTAGGAGGCAAACTACCCAGGTGAATAGTTCAAACTAACTTAAGCACTCAAAACCAGGACCTCAGAAAGTGCCGTTATTACAAGAAAAGTTTTGGAGCTTCTTGTGTAGCGTTAAAACACACCTTGCTCCTTCCTCCCATATAAGGGTACAGGATAATGGCCACAGATACAAGGCGATAAAGAGGCCATCTATACCTAGGTGGTGTTGGTAAACTTATTAACAAATGGTATTAAACTCACATCCAGAACCAGATCCTGCAATTGTTCACGCCAGTCGTTTCCATGCATGTATGTAGCATAACGCCATGCGAGTATTATGGAGATATGGACTGCCACAGGAATAAAATTTAACGTAGTAATTTACATGTAACAAGCATTTTTTTTGTTATAAAATCCAACTGCATGCATCCATCTTCATTGCTAAAAGTAATCACGTCTTCCTACTACAAATTCTGCTAAACGGCCAATGATCTTTCAGGATCATTCAACAAAGCAGTTAAGAAACGCAAACCTTTGAAAAGCAACATATATTAACTTTAAAAATCTCTTTTCTGGAAAAAAAAAAAGTTAAAACCAAACTAAAATCGTTAAATATATTTCATGTCAGCACTCCTATTCATGTGGTTGGCAAGACTCATCAGTCATGAAGTTCTGAAATTATCAGCCACTGACTTTTTTTAAAAAAAAAAAAAAAAATTACTGTGTGCACTAAGGCTTAACAAACTTTCTTACAGGTCTGGAGTACTACATAAATTTTATCAGAGCTGTGCTGGCATAATTGGTAATACAAACTGCCTGGCTTCATGAATGTTACAAGCTCTGGCTCCAATCCTGCAAACACTTACTGAAGAATTTAACTTACTGCGCAGAATGGACTACTCGTGCATAAGTTAAGCATATTTGTAAATATTTGCACAGTATGGACATCTGTTGGCATAGCCAGCATTCTGATACAAGACTCAGCTTTAAATCCTAGCCTGCAGAGTCAATATTAAAAAAAGGGATTCCTCACTTATAAATTCCTTTCTTAGGCATCAAGCATGTCTAACAGCAAAGGGTGGAATTGAAAAGTTAAAACCAGAGGAAGATGGGAATTGGTGAAATCCTAACAAGTGGTTCTGTTTCTCATGTAACTAGAGAAGCCCAGTTTCTTACAGATGCGGGCCTCAAGACTGAGCCCCTGCCTTGTTTTCAACCTTTGCCCAACGACCCTTTTGCTATACCTTTCCTTCAGTGGTGCTACTTAAAGCATTTCTCACATCACTGCAGACATTTCATAAAGGTCATAAAATTACTCCAAAGAGCTTCTCCTTTTCATCATGTTTGGCTGAAACTAACACTCAAAAGTTATCAAGTACGCATTTCCTTAGGAAATTGAACTATAAAAAGCACTGATGAAATGCCTCCTTTCCTCTTAGTGTCTTGGTTTATGCACATCTTGTTTTACTTATCCTCTTTAACACAAAAACCTTTGTGATCTGTGAATTAAAAATTTTAAAACCTGATACTAGGCAGAAATAAATGTAAAGGGGGAAGGCATCTTTGCATTTATTCAGCACAAAGTGAGAGAAACCAAGCTTACACGGTGTTTAAGGCCTTGTGTATATTGCATCTGCAAAGCTGCCGTGTGGATGGAGATCTGCTTCTTCAGCCAACAGAGGAAGAGCTGAGGAGATCGCACTCTGGCTTAGGACTTAAACGTTTCCAATGAGTTTGTTTTAAAACTGAAGCTTAGGGCCCTAAACCGTTTCCTTCAAACACTGCAGGCACGGACCGAGGGGATGCTGGCCTGTCAGCAGCTGGGAGACAGCCGCAAGGCTCCATCAGGGACCTCGGTGACAAGATCCCTCGTCTACAGCTCCTCTCCCCACAGCTCACAAAGCTGTCTGCAAACCAGGGGCGAGCTGACCTTTGTAAAACCCTCACGACACACAAATATGAGCTGCAATGGTGCGGGGAAACAGGGTCCCTGGGGAGGAGAAGTGGGGTACTCTGTAGGGCCTTGTGTAAAGGCTGTGTCTCAAAACATCCCTACCACACCAGGGCCAGGGCTGGCTGCACACAGCAGCCCAAACACCTGCCCCAGCCCTTGGAGAAAGGAACGCGTCTCCTGGCCGAGCGACGGCCCAGCCCCGCCGCGGTGCGGGCGAGCAGGGCCAGTCAGCGGGACGCGGTGGAGAACGAGAGATCGGCGCTGCGGCAGAGCCTGTCCCACCTCAGAGCCCCGCCGGGTTACCTGGTGCAATGAGCACCCACTGGCCAGGGTGCGCGTCCACGGGACGCTGCT